TTCACACTTTGACACTCTGTATCTCCTCGGAATCTGCTAACTTTCGGATAAGTGACATTAGTCGAGTTGCATCTGCACATTACTAAGTATAACACGCCCAACTCTAATTAGGGCGATGTTTGTACAATTTGGCTGTTTACGTTTCGACATTTTTCTGGAAGAGTTTTTCAAGCTGCAAACAATTGGCCCCTGTTCCCAGTGGTGGTGTCGGCGCCGCAAGATCGACGATCGGCCAACATTCATAGATCTTCCGGCAAGTATCGCAAAAAGCCCCGAGTTTTAAGCTGTCCCGAACAGTTACAAATGGAAGTCTGAGATTTTCCGTGAAAAATAGAATTGTCCTTTCGTGAAAGCTCGCTGCGATAGTTTTCTAATTGTCAGCGGGCCGTGAAGCGGAAAAATGGGCCGTCGAGCGTGCATTTAGCGAAAAGGGCGCCAACGATTAGCCGGAGGAGAAGAAGAAGCGAACGGTTTCGCTGCGCCATAAATATATCAAAAACGTTCGAGTGACAAATGGCGCCCAACTGAAAATATCCTGGTCTGGATCGTCAAGTGCAACCGTAATGGTAAATCAGCCGCTCTCTACGAGTCTTCGATTGTCTACTTCAGCGGATCCGCACTACAACCAGGCGAAATCTAGCGGAAACATCGCTATTTGTTTAAAAGCCCCCGCTGTTCGCAACGAATAAATCCATGCCCGATGAAAATCGAGCAAAGTGGCTGAAAAGCCAAACAGTGGAACTATTTAAATACATCCGCGTCATTTGCCTCCCCTTCCGACATTAAAAGTGAAATCAATAGGACAGGCGGCGCGGCTAAAGAAAACTTGAGTCATATCAAAATGTCATCTTAAGGAAAACAAATCCCCCGAACAAGTTGTGGACGGGGATGCAGGCACAATTTCCATTGTTCCCCGTTTTCCAGCTAACGACTTTATGGGGGAAGTGCATGGACATTTCTGGGAAGAGTGGCCCTAAATCAATGCGCTTCACATTTACCATCCCCAGTTTCTGGAAAATCTTCCCCAATGTCCCACAAATTGATTAATTGACTTGGTTTAGTCAAGTCTCAGCTGATTATCCGGTGAGCAGCCTGAAGTGAAACCAAAAACTGCGCAAAAACTTATTTAAACTTCTACATCAAATTTAAAATGGAGCGTTTGGGGTGGAAAATCCGCACATTTCTGCAGTCAAGGGGAAGTTGTATGCAATTTTATGAATCAATTTTGCACGTTGACTTGTTTGTGTCTCTTAAGCTAGATTTTGCAACGCCCACTTTTTCATGTAGAAGTGGCGCAAGAAGTCGTCGTTTTTTCAATTGTAGATTGTTCTTAAAGGGCAGAAATGCAGGAAATAGTTCGTTTTCCCTTAAAATTGGGCCAAATTTCGCAAATATTGATCATTCTTGATACATTTCCGTGACAAAACTGACGATGAAAAATTTAATTGCATTCTGCATAAATAATGACACAGAGCTTCTAGTCAATAGAGAGTTTTTAGGCCCCTTAAAATTACGTTGGCCTTAAACGCTAAATGTTATTGTGATCATGCGCAGTGCTAAAAAAATAAGGTGTTTAGGCAAATAACGTTAAGTGCGTTTTTTA